CTGCCTGCCCTCCCCTTCCGCCTGCCCTCCCCCTCCGCCTGCCCTCCCCCTGCCGCCAGCCCTCCCCCTCCGCCTGCCCTCCCCCTCCGCCTGCCCTCCCCCTGCCGCCTGCCCTCCCCCTCCGCCTGCCCTCCCCCTCCACCAGCCCTCCCCCTGCCGCCAGCCCTCCCCCTCCGCCTGCCCTCCCCCTCCATCTGCCCTCCCGGGCCGCCTGCCCTCCCCCGCTGCCTGCCTTCCCCCTCCACCAGCCCTCCCCCTGCCGCCAGCCCTCCCCCTCCGCCTGCCCTCCCCCTCCGCCTGCCCTCCCCCTCCGCCTGCCCTCCCCCTGCCGCCAGCCCTCCCCCTCCGCCTGCCCTCCTCCTCCGCCTACCCTCCCCTTCCGCCTGCCCTCCCCCTCCACCTGCCCTCCCCCTGCCGCCAGCCCTCCCCCTCCGCCTGCCCTCCCCCCTCCCGCCTGCCCTCCCCTCCGCCTGCCCTCCCCCTCCGCCTGCCCTCCCCCTCCGCCTGCCCTCCTCCTCTGCCTGCCCTCCCCTTCCGCCTGCCCTCCCCCGCTGCCTGCCCTCCCCCTCCGCCTGCCCTCCCAGGCCGCCTGCCCTCCCCCTCCACCAGCCCTCCCCCTGCTGCCAGCCCTCCCCCGCCACCTGCCCTCCCAGGCCACCTGCCCTCCCCCGCTGCCTGCCCTCCCCCTCCACCAGCCCTCCCCCTGCTGCCAGCCCTCCCCCTCCACCTGCCCTCCCGGGCCGCCTGCCCTCCCCCGCTGCCTGCCTTCCCCCTCCACCAGCCCTCCCCCTCCACCAGCCCTCCCCCTCCACCAGCCCTCCCCCTCCGCCTGCCCTCCCCCTCCATCTGCCCTCCCAGGCCGCCTGCCCTCCCCCGCCGGCTGCCTGCCCTCCCCGGCTGGCCAGCTTGCGGACGAGCACTCTCCGTGCCCCCACCTCTCTGGGACTCGGAGGCTGGCCTGCAGCTTGAGGAGCCTTCTCTGCCGCATGCCGCTGGGCCTGTGAAGATGCCTCAGACACCACCCCTTCCTTACTTCTCTGCGCAGTGACCAAGTGCTGGCGCAGAGTGGGCACGGGTTTTTCAGGTCTAACACCCAATACGGAGACCATCCGTAGGGTGTCCCTCCCAGGAGTGTATGCACACACTGAATAGTTAGAAAGGCGGTGCTTCTAACATAGATTTCTTCCCCAAAATTGCAGGATCAGCGGTTAAAGTGTGGTCGCAGTTTGGGGGGACGCCCTGGGTGTAACTTTACTGCCGTAAGAGACCTCAGGCATGGCGAGAGGGGGTTCGGGAGCCCAGGACTCCCTGAAATGCTCTGCAGCTGTCGGTCACTGACACATCCACCGCTGCAGTGGCTGCCTCTGTGGACAGAAGGCTGGCTGCCCGGGAGTGCTCTGGGACCAGAACCCCAGCCCCTCTCCACCTCACCAACCCACACCTGTGGCCCCCGGAGCCAAAGAAGCAGATTCCTGTGACCTCAGCACTCTCGCTGGGCTCCCGACGCCATGGCACCAAGGGGGGCGAGAAGCAGGGCTCACAGAAAGGGGACTCGGGCACAGCCAGCCCAGCCTCTGCACAGCCCGGGAGGCACCCCCACCTCCACTCGCCAGCCTGGCTTTCGCCGGTGCGTCTCCACGGGGTCCCTAGAGAAGGACATTTAGGGTACACAGGCTTACTGATACCTCCTCAATGAAGCTTCACTGAAGAAGACAGAGAGAGAGCTTAAGCACAATACTCTTCAAAATGAAAGTGACACTTTCAAGGGATTTTAAAAATAACCTAATAGGTAGGGAAATTTTATGGACCCAAAGTTAGACCTCAAAAACTCCTGACAGCCTGGCCTGGGTGGCTCAGTGGTTGAGCATCAACCTATGAACCAGGAGGCCATAGTGTGATTATTGGTCCAAGCACATGCCCGGGTTGTGGGGGAGTACAGGAGGCAGCCAATCGATGATTCTCTCTCATCACCATGATGTTTCTATCTCTCCCTCTCCTTCCTCTCTGAAATCAATAAAAATGTTTAAAAAAAACAAAAACGAAAAACTCCTGACAAACAGATGATCAAGAATGCATGCTGGTTGGGTAAATAAAACATACCTTTGTACAAGAACCAAACTCAGCAAAGCTGCGGGATACATGATCGACACACAAAATCACTGTGGCCAACCGGCGTGGCTCAGTAGCTGAACTTCAACCTATGAACCAGGAGGTCACAGTTCAATTCCAGATCAGGGCCCGGGCGGCCGGCCCCATCCTCAATGCGGGGCGTGCAGGAGGCAGCTGATCAATGATTCTTTCTCATCATTGATGTTTCTATCTTCCTCTCCCTTTCTCTCTGATTTAATAAAAATATTTTTTAATCAGTTGTGCTTTTATATATAAGCAATGAAAAATCTTTAAAAAATTAGGGAAACAATTCGATTTACAGTAGCATCCAAAAGAATACAATATCTAGGAATAAATTAAGCAGGGAGGTAAAAGCAGGTTCACTGAAACAACAGAATCCTGCAGAAAGAAATAAAATATATAAATACACGGAAAGAAATCCCATGGGCATGGGCTGGAAGACCGAATATTGTTATGATGGCAATTCCCAAAGCACATGCAGTGTAATCCCTACCAAAATTCCAAACTGTTTTTGCAGAAAGAAAAAAAGGGACCTCAAATTACTATGGAGCTGCAAGGGATCCCAACTAGCCCAAGCATATCAAAAAAAGTAAGTTGGCAGACACTTCTCAAAATTATCTCAAAATCATCTCAAAACTTCCTACAAAGCTACAGTTAACTACCCGGCCAGTGGGGCTCAGTGGCTGAGCATTGACCCTGAACCAGGAAGTCAGAGTTCAACTCCCAGTCAGGGCACATGCCCAGGTAGCTGGCTGATCCCTGGTAGGAGGCATGCAGGAGGCAGCCAGTCAATGATTCTCTCATCATTGATGGTTCTCTCTCCCTTTCTCTATATTCAATAGAAATACACATATATATTTAAAGCTACAGTAACCAAAACACAGGGTGCTATTGGCATAAAGACAGACCTATACAACGGAATAGGGAGTCCAGAAATAAATGCAAACATCTGTGGCCAAATGATTTCCAACGAGGCTATGAAGGCCAGCCAGTGGAAAGAACAGCCCCTTCACCGCATGGCGCTGGACACCTGGGCAGACGCCTGGGGCAGGCCGAAGCAGGCCCTGCCTCCCTCCGCACACAAAAATTAGCTCGCAGGCCAAAGGTCTGGATGTGAGCGCTCAAACTACAAAACACACAGTAAATCTTCATGGCCTCGGAGATGGCAATAGGTTCTCAGATTTTAACCAAAGCGACAGCAACAAAATGAAAAAAGGCAAAAGTGGACATCATCAAAATTAAAAGCTTTAAACATCAAAGAACATTATCAGGACTAAAAAAAACTTCGGGAATGAGAGAACATGTCTGTAAATCATATGTCTATCCAAAAAATATAAGGAACTCCTACAGGTCAACAACGAAAAGACAAACCACCCCACTGAACCACGGGCAATGCTTGGCGAACGGTCCCCTACGTTCGATGGAAGATGAGAGATGCTGTCTTCCCTCGGGAAGCTCTCAGGACAGGAAGGAGGGGGAATCCCCGCGTGGGGTGTGTCAGGTTCTCCCCTCTCGGTGCAGGGAGAACACACACCCAGGCTCTCGGAGACAGGAAGTTCACTGTTACCAAGCACACTTAGGCCAAACTGCGAAAACATGACAAAGCGGCCTTGGGGGTAGGGGGGAGGGGAGGTTCCAGAATCACCAGACCAAGCAGCTAGCTCCACCCCAACTGTGTCAGCGCCAACTGTGCCAGAAAGAAAGGTGCTGTCCCTGCAGGAAGCTGACCGGGCTCAGGGCCCGCGGCCCGTCTGCTCGGCCCTTCCTGGCAGGTACGGCACCTTCCGGCGGAACATCCTAGAGGTTCCCGCGGACGAGCACACAGCCTCTGGTCCCAAACAGCCAGGGACGCCGTCCTGCCCGCCGCGGAGAAGGCCTCTGCGCCGACTGCGCCCCACGCCGTGCCCCCTGTAACCTTCCCCAGGGGAGCAGGGACTGTGCCAGGGGCCCCCGTCTGCTGTGCAGTGACCCGGCCGGGGCTGCGGCCAGAGAGCCCTGAAAAGACAGTCACCGAGCCCAGTGCCGCCGGCAGCTCCGAGGGCAGCGGGAGAGGGCGCCAGCCCGCACCGCGCGTGGGCCACCCCACGTGAGGCGTCTGAGCGGCTGTGGGGGAGCGGAGCGCGGTGAAATGCCGCCGCCAGGAGACCGCCAGACAGGGTGCCGCTGGGAAAGCGTCCGGCCGGCAGACCGGACCTGGGGGCGGAGCACCTGCTGGGCCCACCGACCGCAGGGCGCCGCTCGGGAGAGAACGAGACCGGCGGAGCGGAGAGCCACACTGACGTCCGGACTCCGAACAGAACCCAGAGCGGACTGTTCCAGCGCCCCTGCCCGCTGAGCAGTGCTGAGCTGAGCTCTGGGCTCTTCATTTCCCATCTGTGAAGCAGGACAGTCTTCCCTCCAGCCCGGCTGGCACCCAGCTCACTCACCCCACAGCCGGCTTGCTCATGCTCCTTCTCCTGGAAACCACCTCCCAAGCCCTGGTCCCAGGCAGCGGGCACTGCCTCCCCCAGCACTCCCCCGGCCCAAACCTGGCACCTGCCCTGGTGCCAGCACAGCGGCCTCCCGGGCGCATCCTGGCACAGAAGCTCCTTGGAGAGGGATCACAGAGCATCTTACTCGACTTCCCCGCTTCAGCAAGCAGACCGCTCCTGAGCAAGTGCTCAGAACTGCCATTCAGTCACCTCCCTTCTCCTGGGCCGGCAGGTCCTGGGGAAGGAGGAGTGCAGGGGGACACTGCGCCTGGGTGACTAGCCGCTGCTCTCTTCAGCTGGCCTGGGAGAATCCTGCCCCATGCTGAGCCTCGGCTGCTCCCTACGACCCGAGGGAACTCCAGGAGCCGCCGTGAGGGCCTGAGGCTGACCCGTCCACACTCTGCCTCTCGGTGGCCAGCCCGGTGGCGGTGAGCGAGCAGGCCGGGTGGTGGGTGCCATCAGCCGAGGTCAGGGAAGCTGACTCAGAGGGAGAGGTCGCCCCGCTGCTGCTGCTGCTGAGACAGAGGGCAGCCTCGGTCCAGATGCTGCCGCTGTGCCTCCCTCCATGCCCGTGCCGCTGAAGCTGGGGTGCACAGTCTGGGGACCCCCTCGGGGAGCCTAGGGCAGCCACACACAGACACAATCTTACAGGGAACCCGCCGTACCCAAAGTCAGGGCTGAGTGTGTTATGTGAGGAACATCAGACACATCACAGAGTGCGACGGAGCGTCCGCATCAAACGCGCAGATCAAACAGCCTGGGCCGCCCAGCGTGTGCGCAGCCACGCCGCTCCCCCGGGAAGCCTCCGAAAGCAGAGCACTTCATTTGCCCACAATCACGTTCCGCACGCCCGGCCGCTATTAATCCAAAGGGGACGGAATTTAATTTCCAGAAGAAGCTGTGCCTCCTGGGCAGGACTGAGCAGGAAGGGCTGGAGAGCAGCTCCCGCTCTTCCTTCCCAAGTCCCCGGAGCCCCCAAGAGGGCGGCCCGGCCTGCCCCGCGGCCCCATCCCGGCCCCTCAGCGGGCCAGGAGCTCGCTGCTCTCAGGAGGGCGCGTGGGCGCGCAGGCAGGGCGGCAGCTGCGAGGCTCGTGGCTCACCCACTGCAGAGCCAAACCGCGGGGCCACCGTGGGCCCGGGCCCGCCCCGCCCCTCCCAGGCCTGCGGGTGCTGGACACAAGCACGGAGGGCCCGGCCTGGGGGAGCTGGTCTCCCCGTGGAGCTGGTCTCTAAGACCTCAGCACATCCGGTGCCACTGCTGCCCTCAGATTGCCGTGCATCGGTTAATCCGCTCTGCTTTTCTCCCCGCTTACACAAACCAAGTTTCCTATAAATACGTATGTAGGTTTGCCATCAAATCAAGTGTTCAAATTGGAAAGGAAATCAGGATCAAAATCACAACTGTGGCATCTTTCTTGGTAGGATGGCATCATGAGGAGCTACCAAGTAACCTCCATTTAAAATAGATAGAAATAAATAAATATATTTTTATATACGGAGTCAAAATCAGCATGGAGCAAATCCTTTAAAAAAAAACATGAAATGAGATTATAGGGCCCGATTTATTGTCTGAGAACCAAAGAAGACGTGGGTTATTCAGGGTGGGTGAGAGGGCAGAGGGGAAGCAGGAGGCAGCCCTGCACGGGCAGAGGCCTGTCACAAAGGGCCTGCGAGGGCGGAGGATGCGCAGGGACCCTCCCTCCTGAACACCCACCCCTGGCCAGCAGCAGGGCGGCCAGTCGGCAGGGCGCACCTGACAGCACCAGGGGACTCGGCAGGACGGCTGTCCTCTGGCCGTGCCTGTGGCGCTGACGCTGCGCTGAAGGCCCACTCCCCGGCCTCCCGACCCTGGGCAGCCAGGACCCTTCCCTTTCCCAACTCCGCCAGAGCCGGCTTCTACACTGGAGCCCACACAGGCTCAACTTTCCTCCTGAGGTCTACACTCTGCTGAGAGGCCAGCTTCCGGCTCCTCCCCTGCCGGGTTCCGGCCCTCCCCTCGCTGGGTCCAGGCTCCTCCCCTCGCTGGGTCCAGGCTCCTCCCCTGCCGGGTTCCGGCCCGCCCCTCGCTGGGTCCAGGCTCCTCCCCTTGCTGGGTTCAGGCTCCTCCCCTCGCTGGGTTCAGGCTCCTCCCCTCGCTGGGTCCAGGCTCCTCCCCTCGCTGGGTTCCGGCCCTCCCCTCGCTGGGTCCAGGCTCCTCCCCTTGCTGGGTCCAGGCTCCTCCCCTTGCTGGGTCCAGGCTCCTCTCCAGCTGGATTCTAGCTCCTCCCCTCGCTGGGTTCAGGCTCCTCCCCTCGCTGGGTTCCGGCTCCTCCCCTCGCTGGGTTCCGGCCCTCCCCTCGCTGGGTTCAGGCTCCTCCCCTCGCTGGGTTCAGGCTCCTCCCCTCGCTGGGTTCAGGCTCCTCCCCTCGCTGGGTTCCGGCCCTCCCCTCGCTGGGTCCAGGCTCCTCCCCCCGCTGGGTTCAGGCCCCTCCCCTCGCTGGGTTCCGGCTCCTCCCCTCGCTGGGTTCCGGCCCTCCCCTCGCTGGGTTCAGGCTCCTCCCCTCGCTGGGTTCAGGCTCCTCCCCTCGCTGGGTTCAGGCTCCTCCCCTCGCTGGGTTCCGGCCCCCCCTCACTGGGTTCAGGCTCCTCCCCTCGCTGGGTTCAGGCTCCTCCTCTCGCTGGGTTCAGGCTCCTCCCCTCGCTGGGTTCAGGCTCCTCCCCTCGCTGGGTTCCGGCCCTCCCCTCGCTGTGCACAAGACCCTGCCTCTAAGGGCAGGTGCGGTCTCTCCTCACCCTGGCACTGTAACTAGAACATTATGGGAACTCGAGGCACATTAATTGAACATTAAATTAAACGAGCAAAAGACTCCCAAGTTCCAGCTAATGAGCCACTTATCTCGAGGAAAATAGAATTCAACAGAAGATTCCAACCTGATTTCTGCAGTCGACAGAAACCAGGAGTCACCTGCCCTTGTGACATCTCACCACCGGCCAGCCTCACCCCAAGGCACTGCACGGGGAGACAACATTTTTGGCCCCAAAACAGGTTCTAATCCTGACCGGTCAGAGCCTCACCTCCTCTTTCCTGGGCTGGTCCGTGCCCACCACCCACACCCACCACGGCTAGGATGGTGCTGTGCAGAGCACAGCAGAGACTCAAAAACGCGAGAGCCATTTTGTATTTTTTAGTGAATTATGAATAATAGGTATTGCACAAGCACATCTTTTCCTTTCCTCTGTTACAACAGCATTTTCTCTGTTTCTATGAGCTCCTTTGGACCCAAAGCCTGTCACTGCAAGCTTCACCCCGCTCACCGCTCTGCTCCTGCTGCCTGCTGCTCGGGCCTTCTCCATGGCCTCGTGCCTCCTGCTCAGCACAAGTCCGACATCTCCACACTGAGCCTCTCTGCCTCTCTGGTCGCCTTCCCAATCCTCTGGCCTCACCTGCTTCCTTCCCGCTCGCTCCGTAGCCTTCTTCCCCGTGTCTCTCTGTGCCTTAAGTCAATATTATCACTCTCCTACCCCTACCCCCAAATAATGTATCTTCCTCTGTGAACGCTTGGGAAGAAGCCCCCTAGGGGTCATGTGAGATTCCCTGGATCCATGCAGAGGGCCTTGGTCATAGGATGTCTCCCGGGCTAAGTGAGTGGTTCTTAAAGTGACCACTGCAAGTCAACTCGGCGGTTGCGTAACATTTGACAGGTTGGAGCCCCCGCTGCATGGCAGGCTCGCTGTAAGCAGATGAGAACGCAGAGACGGCACATTTAGCGCAATTTCCTTTGTGCGCTGGAGCTGGCTCAGGCTTGCAACACCACAGAGGCAGTTTTCTTTCTTCAAGTACAGCTTTCACGGTTTTAAAAGGGCTTTACGCGAGTAAATCATTCTCACCCTTCAGCTCATTAGCATATCTATCCCGACAACACCCCAGAAAGCCCTCTCTGTTTGCAGAGTGAAAAATGGAAGGGACCTGCCAGCGGTGTTTACAGAATCAAAATCCCCAGCACGGGCAAACAGCAGAAGCAAACAGATGTTCCAGGTGCGTGAAGGGCCTTTTTCAGACACTGCTACTGCTCTTGCCATCCTCCTCCAGAACGAATGGGTAGTGAGTGTCCACGGAGAATAAGGGGTCCCCTGTCCCCTCAGAGAAAAATTCACATGAACGTCTTATAAAAAAAGTCTGCGTTCTCCCCGCCAGCCCCTGCTTCCTGGCTTCTGCATGTGACAGCTGGACAGATGGCGTCTGCGAGACTCCGCACATCGCACGCCTCGCCCCGCAAGGCCTGGTGCTCGCCAGGGGCGCTGGCCTCCTGGCGGTTTGTCCCAGCACCTACTCACAGGAGGGCTCCCCATCTGGGCGGCTCTGTCACTATCGGGCTGTGAGGCTTATTTTGTTTGGGGCCAAAATTTCCCGTCTTCCCACTCATCCCTAGCAGGCACCTTGTCACCGGTCCCCGAGGAGCGGATGGCTGCACCGCCGCGGCTCCTGCCGGGCTGCGGCCTCCCGCAGGCCATTTCAAAGATGCCAACGGGAGACCCATGGCCACCGGGCTTCCTCAGAGGAGGGGTACAGCATGGGAAGGGACGGAAGCCACATTCCCCCAACCCCCCCCCCCCGTGTTCCCAGCAAACGCGGGGCCTCCTCCCCAGCTGTGTGCTGTGAATGTAAATTAAGAAGCGGCAACAACGCCACTCAGCGCAGCCTCTGTGGACTCCACACAGACAAATGAGACACACACACACACACACACACAGCCTTGTGTCATTCGAAAACCGAGTCACAGCCTCGCACGCCGAAGGTGAAATACATGGTCCCCTTCAGGGGTCCGCGGTCGGAGGCTCCTTGGGTTTCCAGGCACGTCCGCACACTTCACTCCATCTTGCCCTGCCGCCCGGGAAGGAGGCTGCCCGCGGAGCCCGGCTCCCGGAGGGTGTCCCCGGGCGCAGGGGCCGCCGGCGGCGCCCGGCGGGAAGGCAGCCGGCGCCGCGGCCGCTGACCTTCGGCGGGAGGGAGTGCGTGATCGGCGCCGCCCGCAGCGCGCTCTGCGGAGGAATGACTCAGTATAAACTTTTAAATAATGGCCAGCCCGCCGGCGCCGCAGCTCGTGCGGGCAGCGCCCGGCCCCGGCCCGGCCCGCGCGGCAGATGCTGCCGCCGCCGCCGCGGGGTCACGCTCGCGGGAGGCCCGGGCGCCCGTTTCCTGAAAAGCTGCGGGGCCCCGGCCCCGCGGCCCCGGCCCGGCCTCCGGCGCAAAGTTTCCCGAAGTTGAGGCGTCCGGGGGGCGGGCGGCCCGGCGGGGGCCGGCGAGGCGGCGCCGCACCGGGCACTCGCCGCCGGGCGCCGGGCCTGCGCCGCCCCGGCCCCGCGCCGCCGCCGAGGGCGCGGGCTGGAGCCCGGGACGGAGCCGCGGGCCGCCCGCCGCCGCCCGCCGCCCGCCGCCGCCCCTTACCCGCGGTCCGCCGCCGCTCGTGCTCAGGGGCGCCGGGCGCGTCCGCCGCCGCGGTCCGCAGCGTCCTGCTCCCCGGGCGGCCCCATGTCGGGGGGCGGGGAAGCCGGCGGCCGCCGCCGCCGCCGGCTGGAAAGTCCCTGCTGGGCTGCAACCGGCTCGCGCACGCGGCGGCCGCGCCGCCCCGCGCTCCTCGCGCCCTCGCGCTCCCGCTCGCGGCACTTCCTCTCGCGCTGGAAATCCCCGCGGCGCCGGGCGCGCGCCCGCCCCGCCCCCGCCGCGCCCGCGCCCGCGCCCGCCGCGCCCGCGGGAGCCGCAGCACCGGCGCGCCGCCTCGCGCGCACGCGCGCACGCTCGCGCCCGGTTGCCAAGGGCCCCCCCCCCCCCCGCCGGCCTTAGCAACGGCGCCGCGGAGGCCCCCCCCCCCGGCCGCCGCCTGCGCCCCGCCCCCTGGCCCCGCGCCCGAGGCCCCCTTTCCGGGTCAGAAAGCCACGCAGGCCGCGTGGGGCCCGAAAGCGCAGGTTTCCTCGCGGTCGGGAGGGATGGTGTCACCCGGTTCACCAGGGCAGCCCTCACACTCACACTCACACAACCACACACAGACACACGCACAGGCGCTCACACCCACAGACCCGCGCGTTCAACATGTCTTCTCGGTCACACACACACACACACTCTCAGACAGACGCTCACATACACATATCCCAACATTTACACACTGACACACTGACACACTTGTCCACAGTCTCACTCTCATCATACTCAGACGCACAGGTACAGACATGCCCATGTGCTCTCACATTCCTACTCACACTTGCATGCTCTCCAACACTCGCACACACCCATACAGACACACCTGCTGCACCCACAGCCTCGTGCACACCAGCAGGAGATAGGGCCGAGGGGCCAGGGCTGAGGTCTCAGCCTGGGTTCGCCTGGAGTTCCCTTCCTTCCTCAAGGGGCCCCTCCACACCCAGGAAGTTGGTTTTGGTCCAGTGTGAACAGGGTGGCCAGTGTGCCATCAGCTCCCAGAGTTCTCAGCTGGCCTGGGCGCCCTCCTCCTCTGACCCAGGCCTTCTGGGGCCTGGGCAGCCTCCAGGGCCAGGGCTGCCCTTTCTCCAGAGGCCTCAGCCTAAGCCATCAAGGGTTCCCCAACGTCCTCCGAGATTCCCCAGCCCGGCAGGGCCTGGCCAGCCCTGAGCAATGGAGGCCCTCTCTGGAAGCTCCGTCCACACAACGCTGAGACAGATGGACTTGTCATTTTTCTCTTCTCAACAAGACTGTACAAAGATTCCTGGACCCAACACACAACACAACACAGATGACGTACATAGAGCTGAACACCTGGAACCTATTTAATTTAATAAGCCAATGTCGCCCCAATAAATTCTATAAAAAATAAAAAAAATTCCTGGAGTGTGACCAGCGTCAGCCAGTCCTCCTGGTCTCTCTCAGTGACTCATAGGAGTAGAGGCAGGAAGTCAGAGCCTCCTGCCGCGGCTTCCCCATGGGCTGTCCCAGAACTCTGGCCAGGCTGACCGGACTGGTGGGCTCCTTCATGCCAATAGGTGCAGCCACACAGTGGGGCCTTGCTACCCAGACTGGGCCCAGCCCCAGCAGCGCCCCCTTCAGGCCACTAACAGGGCCAGAGAACCAGAGGTGCCGCCATTCACAAAGCAGCATGTCAGGGACAGGCCAGTCCTTGCACACAGGCCCGAGCTCTGAGTCGAACCTGAGTCACCAGACTGGCTCCCCCTCCCCTCGTGGTGGGTCCCCCTCTAGAGCTTTGGGTGCCCCTTCCTGCCTGTCAGAAGTTGCAATGACACTGACCTCAAAGGATCATGGGCCGGACTGCATCCCCTCCCCGAGGCTCCGAGGCCTTTGCAGGGTTTCCCACCTCCTCCCAGTCCCAGGCCGTGGACGCTCTGCCAGTGCCCACTCCCACCTGCTCACTGTGCATCAAGGGGGCCTAGTTAAGACGTGGCCAAGATCAGACTTTGCCCAAAATTTTCCAGGCTGAACTAATAAGTAGGATTCTTGTAAAATAAGCAATGAGGTAGACATTTCAAAGACCTGCCAGAGGGGTTTTCTGCGACTCCTCCTATTCTCTACCAAAGCAATTACCAAGCAACATTCCAATGAGAGAGTCCCCCACCCCCACCCCCACCCCAACGGTCTGAGCAGCTATGGACCCTGCTACAGGGGACTGGAGGTGAGCAGCACAAAGACGTTTGCCTCAAGCCCGGCAACTGCTTTAGAGGCCAGCCTTCCGCCCTCTGCAGTTATAGCTGCTGAGCAGCAGTGATGGACAGCAAGGAGAACCAATCACAGCTCTCTCCTCAATGCATATCTCTGTTCCCTATGGCAACGTGGAACAACAAGCTGACACCATTTCTGGACAAAGACCTGTCTCCCAGGAATGTATGTAGCAGTGCATGTTTGCTGCATGTCTGGGAGATGTGCACACAGAAATTAGAGGGACTCACACCCATGTCACAGCTCAGAAAGAAGAAGCATCTGCTGCATAGAGTTAGGGGGCTTCAGGCCAGTGAAGGGGCATAGCGAGGATCAGGCCCTCAGTGACACCTCCCCCCGAAGACCACCGCCCCAGGGGTCCAACTTGAGCTGAAATGTGCTGGCAACTTCTCCCACTACACGTTACACATGCATCAGGAGGGACCTCAGCACACGGCAAAACAGTGACTAATTGTTCAGACGAGAGGGTTCCGCACGCTGCATCCAGGGGGCTGTGACCGCCGGCTCTGCTCTGTTCTTTCTGCCAGGCTGTGTTGAGGCCCCCTGTGCCTGTGCCCTGTTATTCATGTGAAGCGTGGGAATGAGCTATGACCGAGCAAGTCAACCATCACAGAGTCCCCAAACTCGGGCCCGCAGGCCTTTGAGAAAGCTGAGGCTGGTGGTGGGTGAGCTGGTCTGTGAGCAGTTCCCAAGGACAGCAGATGGGATGGGAGTTTTTTTGTTTGTTTGTTTTTCCTTTTGTTTTTGGGGAGGACGGGAGTTTCCAGTCTGGAGACTAAAAGGGGTCTGAGTAACTGTCAGGCCTCCTCTGCTCTCCAGCCTGGGGAGTGAGGATAAAAAATGACCAGATTCTCAAATTCGTTGTGAGTGATTTGCAAGGAGGGGATGTTTCACAACTCACCAAGTTTGAATTTCCCTCTCCTATTTCTCAACATAAATGCAAATAGTGAGCAATGCCACAGGGGCTCAGTGCTGCTGCTGACGCCAACGGGACAGCCTTTAGGGCTGCTTTCAGCGGATAATGAGCGAGCTCCCGGACCCCACGTTCTAATCAGAGCTTCCTGTCCAGTCAGGACAAGAGGGCGCAGTGTGCCTCCTGGTCAGGGCACAGGCCCAGTTTGCAGCTTCAATCCCCAGTGGGGGCCTTGTAGGAAGCCGCCGATCAATGCTTCTCTCTCATCATTGATGTTTCTGACTCTCTTCTCTCCCTTCCTCTCTCTGAAACCAAGAAGAGTATATTTAAAAGGAGAAAAAAGAGTTTGCTAAGCACCAGCTGTCCTGCACTTCCTCAAGCCTGCACGAAGGCGCCTGGGCTGATGGAAGGGACAGGGCTGAGGGGCACTCCGCCTGGGCTCGCTGCGGACCCTGCCTGCCTGGGGTCCGCCACCTTGGGCGTGTTCCCGTGCCCCTGAGGCTGAGGGGCCCGGTTTCCCCGAGGTGCTGTGCTTCCCCCATCCCGGGATGTCACAGGCACGGGCCTGGTTAGGAGTCAGGCGGGCAGGGCTCCTGTGTGGCCCGTGGAGTGGGGCTGCCAGGGTGGGCACCTGAAGCAGGTGACGGCCCCAGTCACAGGAAGCGGTCTTCCCCCCCTGCTGTTTCTCTTTGAGTAAGAGGCAAACCAAAAAATTTCCCCGCAGATGGTTAAGGAACCAAAATCGGACACTGACTTCGGTGTGGGGATTTTGCCCTCCGGGCGGGGCACTTCATTCTGCAACTCCAAATGCAGAAACTGCCCGACAGGCCCGCCAAAGCTCTCTGGGCAGCCTCTTCCAGGTCACCTCAGACGGCACGGGGAGCTCCCTCCGAGGAAACCATTTGAATAGGCGTGGGCCTGTCTGAAGTTGTCTGGGGAACTCGGATGTGGGCCTGCGATGTTCCCTCCTGCTCTGACACAGCAGTGTGACATCTTGTTTCCCAGAAGAAAGCAAAAGTATGCCGGCCTGGTGTTGAGCAGAAGGTCACGGTCAGGGCACAGGCCGGGCTGCAGGCTTGATCCTCACCATGGGGCATGCAGGAGCAGCCAATCAATGATTCCCTCTCATCACTGATGTTTCTCTCCCTCTCCCTTCTTCTCTGAAATAAATAAAATATATATATATCTTTTTTTAAAAGGTAGAAAATAATGAAGGAAAAGTTCCTCATTTTTCGCCAAAATCGGTTTGGCTCAATGGATAGAGCGTCAGCTTGGGGACCGAAAGGTCGGTCCCGGGTTCGATTCCGGTCAAGGGCATGTACCTTGGTTGCGGGCATATCCCCAGTAGGGGGTGTGCAAGAGGCAGCTGATCGATAACTCTCTCTCATCGATGTTTCTAACTATCTCTCTCCCTTCCTCTCTGTACAAAATCAATAAAATATATTTTTAAAAAAAGAAAAAGTTCCTCATTTTTTTCCAGAGCCTTGATTCCATTTTTTCCTCCATTTTTAAGGAAAAATAAGATTGATTTTACCCCTGGATCAGAAAAACATAACATCCACTTATGGATCTTTGAAATAGTCACTCATTTGTTCACTCATTCATTCATATAGCCACAATGTCCACTAGGCAGTTGAGGAATCGGATCTACTCTGAGCCTATTCTATTCTACTTGTAAATCCCCCAAAGCTGCCCTTAAAGGCGTCGCCCTCCTTCTTCCCCATGTCACTCCGCCTGTGCTGTGTAACTCCCTGGAAGGCCTGTGAAGACAGGCGTCACGCATGCGCTGAAGGTGTCTTCAGAATTGTGTTGTGAGTGTTTTGTCCAGAGCAAGGCCACCTGGTTGTCAAAAGACCTGAAATGCTAATCTATATCAATAAAAGTGTAATATGCTTTTATTAGCCCTACCATCCTTCTGGGTAAAGCCGAAGCAGTGCTAGCAGCCGAAGGAAGGAAGGCCTACTCTTGAACAAATTTCATGCAGCAGGCCTCTAGGAATGCAATAAGAGCTCTGGCATTTGCCCAGAAAAACAAGACAGCCGAAATGTACATCTCCGAATACCTTTTGCAGTTAGGCAAAATC